ACCGATTCTTGGAATTATGCTTATCACAGGAAAAATGTCGCGTATTTTCCCAGCTTATGTTGTATCTTTTTTCAGTTCACCACAACGAAACCTTATACATAATATATGTGATAAGAGAAGTCAATTATTATCTGAAAGTAAGGAATGCGTCTCCCCCGGGAATTTGTGAATTAAAAGAAGAAAGGAATTAATTCCTTGGCGGAAATATTCTTCAGTCTGATTACAGGGTGACTCAAAAGTCCTTGGACACCTATTGAAAAAACCGTTGGGCAAGTGATAGCCTGGTGATTTTTTGAGTGAAGCAACATCTACTACAGATCTAATTTGCCTTCCAAGTTTCAGGTCGAAAGCTCTTGATATGGTTCTCAAACATTAAAGAGAAGCAGTGATTTTTCAAAACCAGAGTAGTCTTCCAGCAAGCAGGATCTCAAAGCTCACCAAAACCACTCGATCTACAGCATTATTCGGCGATACAATGAGCTTGGATCAGTAGCAGATCGCCAAATAAGTGGACGTCCTTCCGTGTTCCAGGATGAGCTCTAGAAACGAGTCAGGCAAATGCTATACCGAAATTCAGGGCATTCTGGAAGAAAGCTTGCGCAAACCTTGAGAGTGGACAAAGACACCTTTTGAAGATACATCAGGGGAAAGCTCTGCATGAAGCCTTTAAAAAAAAACAAAAGGTGCAGCTGCTTACAGAGATCAACAAGAAGAAACAAGTTCAAAGGTCCCGCCAGTTGCTCAAACGGTTTAACCAGTCCTCATTCCAAAGGATTGTTTTTTTCTGACAAAAATAGAAGATACATCAGGGGAAAGCTCTGCATGAAGCCTTAAAAAAAAACAAAAGGTGCAGCTGCTTACAGAGATCAACAAGAAGAAACAAGTTCAAAGGTCCCGCCAGTTGCTCAAACGGTTTAACCAGTCCTCGCTCCAAAGGATTGTTTTTTCTGACAAAAAAATTTTCACTGTAGAGCAAGTTTACAACCCCCAAAACCATCGCCTCTGGGGTAAAAAGCTTTCCTCCTTCAAGTCTCACCAGCGATATGTCCATCTAGTTCAAAAACCAGGTAGTGTGATGGTGTGGGGTGGTGTTTGTGCTTCTGGCAAAACTCCCGTGCATTTTGTGCAGCCTCAGGCCAAGATCTATCTATCTGATCTATCAAGATCAGGCCAGCTACTATCAAGAGTGTGTTGAAGAAGGTGCTACTCCCCTGGACTCAGGAACATTTCAAATCCCAGTCTTGGACATTCCAGCAGGACTCAGCACCAGCTCACAAGGCAAAATCCACCATCGACTTCTGCAATCAGTTGTGAAGAACCGTAAATGATTTCCCAAAACGTCTGAAGCAGGTTATTGCCTCAAATGGTGATATTTTTGAAACATAAAAACATGATTGGTTTAGTTTTTTGTGATCTTTGCACTGGTCAAATCAGAAATTAAATTGGTCTTCATCAGAGAATGCTACACTTGATTAAAGGAGTCCAAGGACTTTTGAGTCACCCTGTAACTGTAAGGATCAGTGCTCAAAATGGGATTTCTTTTAGTGGTGGCTATGAAAAGTGCCTTGTATTATGCTTCTCCTCCTCGAATAAGCGAAAATGGAACCATTTTTGGCTTCAATCGAATTTTATTAGCGTCATCTGGATTGTGTTGCCTCGGCAGTTCGGTTCGAGGCTTTTTCCGACCTGACCGTTACAAAGAAAATCGATATTGAAATCGCAGCCTAGCGTCCTTGAGGGCATGCCATCCAACATTATCCCCTCGTTTTCGTTTTGGCCAGGTTGCTTAATCGAAGAAGTAAGCTGAAGTAAAACACTATCGCTCTTCATGACGAGTGCTAGTAATGATCGCAAAAAAATGGGGGATCGGAGGGAATAGAAGTAATACGTTCCCACTAAACGTATCAATATCTTATCAGGGCTGCATGAATGTTAACCCTGAATGTTCCTTGCATTGAGGTAGAGTTCAGTTGCGGCTTGCGATATGCAGCGTGATTTGCCTGTGGGGACAGAGGAGGCCGGCCTCTCCTGTCCTCCGCTTACGAACTGCTGCTGCTGGATGTCACGAACCGTCAATGTTGGGGTTACATCCGAACATCCAGCCATTGAGTCAATAGCGAATGGCGTTTATCGTAATCCTCAGATGGATGTTCCACAATTGTTGATTCAGCTCTTCAAATAAGGGCGGTTGAGATAAGATGCTACCCGGATCTTGGACTTTCCACTCCTCTCCCTTCATTATATGGCAGTTACGTTCCGGTAAGCATAAGGCCGGGTTTCTCTCGGCCGGGTGAAGCCACGAATGAACTCCGGACGAATGAAACGAAATCCGACTTTTCCGAGTCTCATCCAGGCGTCTGACAGCTTCCTACCTGAGAATCAACATTGCAACTCTCTAGCGCTGATATGATCGGAACATCGAGCAAATATTGTGATTGATTTATCAATTGTCGACGTTTTTAATAACAATAATTTAAATAATAATTTACAATCATTTTCTGTCTCTCTGTTTACGATAATTGTCTGTCTATCTGGCCTCCTGTCTACAATGAGGCCAGCATGGGTGGTTTTTTCCCCACCCGACTCGATCGGGCCGATCGGGCCGGCCCGCAGCCCGCTTAGGCCTATATCCCAAGTAACACAAGATATTCCAGCAACGTTTAGGAAATGTTGATGAACAATGTTGCATCTATGTGTAAATGTCCAAAACGTCAACGTTGCTCAAATGTTGCGAAGGAACATTGCATTTTCGTTGCAAATCGCTACTTATTCATTACATATACGTTGCAGATACGTTTCAGGATTTATGTTGCTGCAATGTTGATTAAAAACGTTGCTTCACGGGCACCTAATCTGGATCTATATTGGCATTACGGAAAAGCGTAGGCTTCACTGGTCCTGAACTGGACCGATATTTGACCAATATTGAATTATTTATTTCATCCTTTCGTACATTCTCATCAACAGGACGAAGCCTGTACTGGTATAACCCCTACTCCATGCATAATACAGTATCTGTATCATGTACAGGCAGGAGACAGTACATTTTTGGAGGTGATCTTCCCCTGGATGTACTAAATAGCACAATACAGGAAAAGGTCCGACCGCAATGTTTTATGGAGTGTCCACGAGATCAATCCTTCGTTTCCTCAGCTAGTACCCAGGATGAGAATATGAAGTATTGAGATCGCAGACTCTACCATCGTTATTATTGTCCCGTTCTTGGAAAGGGTTCTTTTTGGGAATATGAGCTTTTTCTATCTTGACCCCATTAATCTGTCTAGAAAATGAAGATAACAGGTGATGAAGTGTCCGTGTTCATTGATTGCTATAATGAGACAATGTGAGACATATGGCAAGGTACTAGACATTCCTGTGCGGGACTATTCCAGGAAAAGGGAGAAGGCCACTTTTGTGTACTGTGAGAAAGCGAGACTTACGTCTCCATCTCGTGGCAAGGAGGACAACTTTATAATTCTCTAAAACTCCTAAGTCCATGTTGTATCAGAATGTTGTCGCTACGTTGTCGATGTCAAGAGTGTCAACATTCTCTCAATGTTGATAGCTAATGTTGCAATGACATTCGTAGAAATGTCGTAGCAACATTCCAAGTGGAAACATTGAAGCAATGTTATATCAATGTTGTAGATCAACTTGCAACATAGAGCAACATAGTCAACATTTCGGAAACGTTTCATCAACATACTGTGTTACTTGGGTAAGCCTCAGAACTCGAGGTTTCTCGGTGTCTGTCTAAGCGGCTCTGCTGACGTTTCTAACATCCCATGACGTCATATTCGTGTCGGTCCGTTCATCGCTCTCATGGTTCGCTAGTTTCGTTGACACTGTTTTGCCGAGAGTTGCGTCATTTCAAGGACGTTGTCGCATCACGTACTGACGGAAAGAGGTGTCTTTTTTTGCCAGCAACTGGGGGCAGCTAGAAAACGCCTCTGAAATGCTTATTCCCCCAGACCCGGCTAGACACTTGATTGCGGACCTCGCTGCACGCCCGATTCGCAGGTCGGGTCGCCGGGATCCAGCCAGCTCGGGATGCGGTTCGACCTAGGCCGCATCCCGAGCACGACTCAAAATCGTCCCCCGTTTTTTATTCAATGCCCAGGTGTTCGAATTCGAACTGTGCGCCTCACATGTCCAGCTTTTTCCACGTCCATCCGCCCTTATTGCATCCTGCACTCCTCGTATCCACTCCCCCTTGTATCCTGCACTCGATCATGTGAAGTCTGAGTTTGAAGGGAGCATTAAATTAATCCCAGGAGAGATTTGCTGTGATGGTCGAAGTCAATGCCCCACATCCAAGAGACTGTGTTCCTCATCGCCACGGACTATCCCCAGATAGCATGCCTCTGGACTCACAAGACAAGGTGAATATTACTCTCTCCATCCACAACGCAAGAATTGTCTGGAGTCTCCTTGAGCTTTATTACGTCTCGAGGATAATGCATTAATTGCAAGTACCTTCTTCCTTCTATGTGGGAAAAAATCAATTACAATATGAAAGAAAGTCTTTGTGGAACCATCCGATAGCATCGGGGGAATTGAAATATGTACAGCGGCGAGTTCAGTGCGACCTCGCTCATATCGTCAGAATTTTGTTTTTATTGAATGATCTTCAGAAAAGATTGAATTATTGAATGAACAAAAGCTGGTTTCAATCTGGTCCATCCAAAGGCATCCTAAGGAAGACAGTAAGAAGTTATCCATTGGACGTTCCAAGACGAACTATCCCATCTTTTCGTTCATATTACGAGTACTGTAAATTAAATCTTGCACTGATCCACACTAATGATATAATGATTGAAGTTACAATCCAAGATGAGCGATTTGAAGAAAGAAAACTCAAGTAATCACACGATCATGTCGCCATTCCATAAATCCGTCATTCCATAAAATTGAGACGATTGACAGTAAGATGTCCGTAGAGTCCTGATCAGATTAGGCCCAGAACCAATGACAAGATATCGATCCATGATGATGACATTCTAAGAACATCCAAAGGATGACCGTTTCTGGACTTTCATCCATCTCTGGACGACTCGTCCATGGACGAGTTTTGGATCATCCATGGCTACTTGAGTCAAGACCGTTCTAGGAAGAAGACGTGGCGATGACTTTTGGATTAAGGCGGCGTAGTACCCTCCCTGAAAAAAGAGCTTGGGCCTCGGCGTATCATAGATTTCGGAGAGTGTCTTCCCGCCCCTCAAACTCGCAGGTTCTGGGGTTCTGGGTGAGTGCAATGGGGTGGAGGTGAGGTCAAGGAAGACCTATATCAAGAAATGCTTCCATAGGACGAGCAATTTTCCTACAAATGGTGTCAGTAGGACTCTGAAGGATGTGCTGATGCTGATGGGATAGCATCTAATGTAGTTTCTAAGGAGTGTCTTACAGTGAGTACTCTTGGGACATTCTTAGAATTCCAGTTTCCTGTGGACGTCCCAAGCAAGGTCCATAGAAGTGATCCTCGAGACGTTCGAATATGCTTGCAGTGGGACGTGAGACACTGGGATTCAAACGGGACGTCCCTGAGATCATCCCGTGATATTGCGGCCGAGACATTTTCAGGCATTTAAATAAAAGATCATTTTAAAAGATCACAACCCCATGTATTCAACAGCTCTCATAAGAAATCAATGCAAACGTAAGTATGTTTAAATTCCAATGCAACATATGCACAACATACCATTATGCCTGATGGGATGGGGGCTCACCTATAACAAGATGTAGCATTTGAAAGAATACCAATATGAGTGAAACGAGGAAAAAGACATTTAACAAAAGGACAATATTTTCATAATTGCTTGAAATCACAGGTCATGAATGCTGTGTGAAGGGATGGGCAGTTGCGTACATAGGGTGTGGTGGAGGGGGGGGGGGGTCGAACGCTCCCTCTCGTCTTCAGGAACCACCCCCTCACCCCACTCCGACCCCCCAGGATCGCTGTTTGGGGATGGGTGAATAAGTAACCACTACCGCTGCGGCACATAAATTCTCTTCAAAGTCTCACTCACTTCTCTCGTCTAGCATTCCACTCCCGCTCCTCACTCAGTAATAATACTGAACCCCTCCCCCTTCCAAATATTCTGCGTACACTACTAGGCGTGGGTCATTACGGGAGGCTAGCTGAAATACAAAGAGGGGATAAAATCTCTACCTTTGTTTATACAACAGAGACACAATAAGATTATACAGACTTCACAAGACATCACATTAGACTTTCATCTGGCGAAGGAAGAAAGCAGAGAATCATATTATGCTGTTTCCGGGTTGAATTCATACTTCGAATCCCCCCCTCCCTCCGATAAGAGCGCTTACATCGATTGCAGGTAGTGACATCATCCACGTGGGTGATTATGTCTATTACCTGATACCTGATGAACTGGCCCTTTCTGGAAGTTGCTTTCTTCATTATCCACTATAGGGTGGTAGGGGGGGGGGGGGTTTCTAATTCAATCCGAAAATCGCGTAGTTCTGAGAGTCAGCAAATGTAACTAAGCCGCAAAAAAACCATGCAATGAGAAACCATCCAATCGGCATGTTGGGTGCTCCTATTATCTGGCAGCTTGTTGCAAGGGGCATTATGACAGTCTTCCTACTCTTCCAGCACTCCAATGATTATAATTCCAACAAATTCAGCTATTTCTGATCTTGATGAAAACATAGACTGCATCAGCAAGGAAAACGGCAGCAGTCATGAGTTGAAAGGCAGCACTGGTCCTCATCTTTCCTATAGTAGGACTTCCAGTTTGAGGAATGCAATTAAAACGAAAACTATCATCAGCAGCCTTAAACAGAAGACCACCTGAGAGAAGTAGCATCACGGACCCAACAGAGTTCAGAATTGCTTCCTGCAAATGGGGGGGGGGGGGAAGAGAGAAAAAACAACAATTTTTTTAGCTCATCTCCACTTCCAGAATTAGAACCCAATTCCCAAAATTCATGGAACCAATACAGTTTCATATCTTTACGATTGGTAACTTATGTATATAGGGTGGTTAAAAAGAAACGCTCTACTGTTTTCTATGGGAGACACAGTTTCATAAATAAAAATTGTTCTCAAATGTTCTCAAATTGACCCACGATATTCTCTGACTTTGATACGAAGAAGAAACGGATATCCGGCATGTCAGGCATTTGGCAGTATGAAAACCATAGAAAAGCTTTGGTTCTTTGTCCGCAAAACACAGGTGCAGATCCGGTGCATGGGCTGTACTTAAAGTATTGCTATCGGTATTATTTCTCTATAACCACACATCGCAAGAATGAAATCCTTGTCTCAAAGCGTATGTCCAAGCTTTATTATCCTGCAGAAGTTTGACTGTTTTTTTTTAAAATATAAATTAGGCTCCGCCCTAAATAGAAAGGTCAATTGATTTTGAAAGCTACAGGTATCCTACAACTTGGCAAGACAATTTATTTTCCAGAAATATGAGATGGAAGTGCCACCAGCTTTCGCCATTTTCAATGAATTGGTCTAGAATGATACGTAAAGGTAATGAATTACTAATCATTGCTAAAATTTCTGACATTCTGCATTCCTTTCAATTAAAAAAAAACTCCTTTGTGGCCTTTGATATTTTATTTTATGCTAGCCTTTTAGTTTAACATCCTAGTCTACTAGGTGGTAGGCTTAGGTGATGCTAACCGAGCGAGATTTAAGTCTTTTGGACGAGTGGAGCAAGAAATGGCTCATGAGGTTTAATAAAAGTAAGTGTAAAGTTCTCCACGTCGGTCGAAACAACGGAAGGTCTCTCGACACGTTCGGCGACGTTAAATTGGATGAGGCAAACGGAAAGAGAGATTTAGGTGTTTCTATCGATGAGGACCTCAAGTTTTCCTCGCACGCGCAAGCGACGGTGGCCAAATGCAACAGGATTCTAGGTTACATTCGTCGGTCGGTTGCAAGTAGGGCATCTCGCGTTATTCTTCCGTTGTATGCGGCGCTGATAAGACCCCAGCTGGAATATTGCATCCAGTTTTGGAGGCCTACAAATAAGGGCGATTTGTTGGCGCTCGAGGGAGTACAGAGGAGGGCCACAAGAATGATTAAGGAGGTTAGGGGACTATCATACGAGAAGCGTTTAGAAGTGTTGGGACTGTACTCGCTCGAACGAAGGTTAAGGAGGGGCGATCTCATCCAGGCTTTCAAGATAATTAAAGGAATAGATAATGTCGAGTGTGGTAGGTTTTTCCAGTTTGATGACAGCAAGAGAACGAGAGGTAACCGACTTAAGTTGCGCAAACCGCAGGTGCGGCTCAGGTCGAGACAGGAATTCTTTACTTGCAGAGTGGTGAACGCGTGGAATGCGTTAGATGACGAAGTAGTGGCTGCCCCTTCTGTGACTATCTTTAAGAAGAAACTAGATGCTTTCATGGACAGGCAAAAAGGTGGGGGGCAATGTTGACGTAGGTACTAGACAGTAAGCAACTAGGTTAGTAAAAAAAAAAAAAAAAAAATATATATATATATATATATTTAAGAGGGTTAGGCCTACCCTAAAATTAAGGAACGCTCGACCTCGACACGTGATATCGAAATGGGCGAAATCGCCTCTTGATGTCACTAACTCTCTTGACTCTTGACTTGACTCTTAACTGACCTGCGTAGAAGCTTTCTGTCCAAAGAAATATCCGAGGAGATGTGCTAAAGACAGAATGATGAATCCAACAACCACTCCAACGACCAAGAACTGAGTGTCTACCTTCCCACATGGCGATGAACGGTGTATCCCGATGGCAATGATCAGAAGCAACTACAAATAGAATGAAAATACAGAGAAATAATTGAGTTGATCTAATATTAGGCTTAGGCACTACTGCAAGTGCACACCTATTGGGAAATAGGATGGCTTTACACACCGCTTGGACTACTTTAAAGGCACCGTTGAAGCTTATGCAGTTGGTGAATGATACAGCCATGATAACCTATAGAGGTTCGATGATGACACCTTGGAAGGGCAAATGGATCACCAGAATATCAAGATGGCGAAATAACAAAATGCCAGGATTTCACGACGAGGCGACAGGAACCAGACTCAGGTTGAAAGGTTATTCGGTCAAACTCAGGGATCCGTGAGGGCCGCTCGTTCGTTCGTCACCCAACTGCTTCTAAAATAGTTCACAAAAAATGGTGCAAATAGGATATAGTCTTATATTTCACACAGATCCAGATGTTGTAATGGCTTCTTGACGGTCCCAACGGCCTCTTACCTTCCACACTGACAGGATGTCTGCTTTTCTGTAACCTGCAAGTTTCCCATCATGGAAAAGCGAATCACTTTTAGCATTTTCCCTTAGCTCATCTCACCAATTTCCTAATAAATGGCACGTAGGGTGGATTTTTGAACAGAAAACTATCCGATAATGCAGCTTTATTCCAGGGAAAATACATGATATTTCCTGGAAATAAAGCAGCACTATCGGATAGTTCTCTGTTCAAAAATCCACCCTTATGAATGAAAAATGACCTAGAGTAACTTCTAACCTAAAAAAAATTAGCACATTTGTGGCACAAAGCTGCCATTCTTGAACTTTCATAAGTAGCATTGCATTCCCCGAGTCCTCAACTGGAAGATGTTATCACTCCCTTTGTATCGCCACAGAGGCTGCTTTCCCACTAAGAGTGGTTTTCCTTTCCAGATAAGCGGGTTAGTTTTGTGATTTGCTATCTACCCCTGCGGTTTCCTCAGTTATCTGCTTGGTTATCTGAAAAAATGGCAGGTACTACGGTCGTTATCTTCCATTCCCATAGTGAAAAATAGGAATACAGGGTCGTACAAAAGTTCCCGTACACTTTGATTAGCGCTTCGATTCTTTTTAGGCGTCATAGCTCCAGAGAAAAAAAATTCAAATAAAGACTGAAATTTACTGTAATGAAAACATTTCGCATCAAAAATGTCCGTAGAATTAAAAAAAAAACACACATCAGAATCGCCAAAAATACGTTGATTAGTGAAAAACAAAAGATTTTCAAAGTGTACGGGAACTTTTGCACAACCCTGTATAGCAGATGTAGCGGTCGTTTTATCACTTTCTTTCTGTTTTCCTGTTTTTATGTTTTGTTTGGGTTTTGGTTATTGCTGTTCTTTTTCCCAACATTCTGTCTGTCCGCAGTTGCTATAGCAACCGGAGAACTTTCCTCATTGCACAAGTGCAGCCTTTCGCTTGCGTAGGGTGTCAGACGCAGACTATAACTGCCAGTTCCCTTCCAGGTTGGGCTACATCCCAGCGGGGGGTGGGGAGAGAGAACCAATGACGTCACTGGTATACACTCTCCTCTGCTGACTGATAAAATCTAATTTTTCTTGTCTATTTCTCCTTTGTTAAAAATGTAATATTGGTTAGTTTTTTTCTTGCCATATTACATTGCACTTTGCGCCTCCATTCTATTGCGCTCGAACGATTGCATCTCTAGATTGTGGCGCTTCCAGGTTCATAGCATTCGCAGATGCCGATCGTATGTGCAGTCGCCACCTGCAAGATCATCTCATGATTTTGAAGTCGACGGAGAGAAACGTTCGTTTCACCGTTTCAAGGGAACCTTGGTTGGGAAAGACCAAGGTGATGCAGTGGAAACGCGCGGAATATTAAATTCCTGTAGTGAACTAAGGGAGGGACCCAAAACTCTTTGGTGTCGATTGTCATCTTTCGCCGAGATGATCCAATCGAAATTCCTTGTCAACCATCGAATATCCCAAATATTTGTAAGAACGCAGCTGTTCGTCTGGATTCTCTTAATAAATTCTGAGTTGCTCAGCATGGGCAAGAATATGAGGAAGAAATGGAAGTCTTTTGTCGAAGTGGCGAGAAGGAATATCCACATGGTATTCATAAAAATGACGTGATTTGTCAAGACCATGCCAAACAAGTTCCCTTCCTCTGATTTGGGGATACAGCAACAGAGAACGAGGGCGTCTGATAATGAATGCATATTCTCATTGCCATTTCAAAAGGGCAATGACCCATGTTAACAATTCCCGTAAATGATAATATATTCTCGCTACAGTCGCATCCCCCTAGAACTTTTCGGTACTGAATCTTCCTCGCCTCTTTCCCATCCGATGCATTCCCTTCCACATTTTAAGGGATATTTTAAAAATGAGCGATTGGTTACGAAATGCGGACATTATACTTCAAATGATATCATAACATTGGAGGAAAACCAATGGCGAGAATGGAGCAGTCGGGGCAGGTGTATACCAGTGACGTCATTTGCCCTAGGGCTCGAACTGCCATTATTCGGGGCTTCGCTTTCGACCCAACCTTATCTACTCTTCTACCCTGGATTCCCTTCCAATGCGGAAGCGTAGACAGGGTTGCAGGCCGAACCCATGAAATGTCACATCTGGCATCCTGATCTGCGCACTTGTGCTCTCCTCCCATCGTCGCGGGATGAGGAAGCGCGGAATATCAAGAGTTTCTTGGGGTTTCGGGAACTGCTGACAGACATATCTGTTCACATGGATTTTTACTGGGTACCATATCAGAATTTCATTAAATTTGGTGCGTGGATTTATTTTAGGGAAGAGAAACATTAAAAAAATTTTTTAATGCTTTCTGATCATTTGTTCGAAAGTTATGCGCATACGAAATTTCAGAGGCGGAGCCAAACTCTCTTGGGAATAAGGGTATAATCTGAAGTTATGGTCCGATTTCGACAAACAAGATGTCCCTTTGAAAGAGAAAACTTGGGAGATCCCAAACACATTATCGCAACCTATATGACAAAATATTTGAACTTGTTCGCACGTCTGAGTAACATATGACCTTGTGAAACCGGAGCCAAACTCTGTCAGGTATTCAGTCGAAGCATACGAGTATGTCTTAGCTTGAGTATGGAAAAGTTTCAGTACTATTTTTTTTAGCTCCTGAATAATTTTCATGCTAGGCACGTCATGTCCATACGCCTCTAGAAACACTGAACAAATTAACTTGAAGCTTGGGTTTCTCTTGCTTGGATTAGTATTATAGTAATTTAAGATACCCTTACGGAAAATTCACATGAGGATCTCATGGAAATCCTATGGGATTCCTACGGGAATCAGAGTAAAATCACACTCCTTCACGGTTCCCTTGTGAATCGTTAAGGAGTGTGATTTTAATCTACAGGGCATTTAATTTAAATTATACATCTTTGAACGCTCATATCTCTGAGAGGAGGCAACAAATCTTGGTGAAATTTGACGAAAATATGCGTACGTAAAACAACTTTTGGCAAAATATTGGACAGAGTTTTATTTCTCGCAACGCCCTCTATCAGGTTGAACAACTCATTCTACTTAAACCTCTGAAATCAAGATCTTATCAATTTGATAAATCTCTTGAAGCACATCATTCATTAGATTATTCCTTGATCCAGTAGCCCTGAAAGTTTCATGATTCTATCCCATCTTCTTACTGAGAAATCAATTTTAAAATGTGATAGCAGAATATGCTGACATCTTCCAATTGACGGTTTTCGCGTTACCCAGGTTGAGCCAACATGGAGGTAGCCGTCGTTCATCCCATGGGGAGTTTTTTTAAGTGGTTCCCCTTGCCTCCTCAAAGCCATCCAGCACGAAACATTCACAATCAGATTATCCTTTGTGAAGCTTGATTTGCTTGCCGTCAATCTCAATGCAAACCTGGGATCGATTGAGGACTGAGCGGCACACCTTCTGAACCATATCCTGAGGGATGGTGTCGAACTCCTCCTTAATGATATCTTTCAGCTCAGGAATATCCCTAGGAGCGGACGAAAAACTCGATCCTTGAGATATCCCCAGAGGAAGAAATCAGGAGGAGTCATGTCCGGAGATCGTGCCGGCCATATATGGTTCCACGACGACCAATACATTCTGGAAAGGTCTCATCCAGAAAATTTCGAAATGTTCGAGCGTAATGGGAAGGAGCGCCATCTTGTTGGAAGGTGAGGCGATCAATTCCTCCCATTGGGAAATCACTGGAAGGACATCCTCCTTGAGCATTCGGAGGTAGGTGGCACCTGTCACCGACTGATCAAGGAAGATCGGTCCGACCTTTCTGGTCGAAGATATCTCCGCCCAAACCATCACCTTCTGTGCGTCCAAATTGTCCGCCTCAACATATCGATGGGAATTTTGTGAGTCCCAATAAACACAATTGTGGCGGTTGACCGTTTCAGCCAGGCTGAAGATCGCCTCCAAGGAATGTTGTCTTTCCATGAGGGATCAGTCTGGTCATGTTCAAGAAAGAGTTCCGAAAATTCAACCCGACGGTCAAAGTCATCCTAATTAAGTTTATGAAGAAGCTTCAAATGATAGGGTTGGAATTTCAGATCCTTCTTCAATATCCTCCACGCTGATGTTTGGGATATCCCGAGCTCAAGCCCGATCTTCTCAGACCCCGCATTCTGGTTGGCCACAGAATACACCTGCGCTGCCTCTCACACCCTCTGAATATTTTCTGGGGTTTGCACTGTCGGCGTGCGCGACCTTGGATGGAGTACGGATCCGAAAGTCCGAAAGTTCTGGTAAACGTTTGCAAACACCGATCTGCTGATTGCACACGCCTCGGTAGATTCCAAATTGTCCTCAAGGCTTGAAGTGTTACTGGGAGATTTTCTGTTTAGGAGATATTGCTCCGAAATATCGATTTTTTGCTCTTTGGTGTAATTACTAGCCATGGTATCTCCCTAACTTAATCGCTAAGTCACACTAACATTATCCCAGATTGTAAAATGCTTAAACTCATCAGCATCAACAAGCTTCTGGTGACGTCAATCCGACTTCTTTAGCCTAGCCTATGGCCAAAAAAGGTATAGTCCTGTAGGCCACGCGAGCTAGACCACGACTGCAGAGGCTTAGGTCAGGGAAGCCAAAAAAGCCCTTTGGTACGGACGGGTCATTGGTTTGATTGGTAAATGTAATTGGTTTGACGATTGATATCTCAGTAAGGAGATGGGATAGAATCATGAAACTTTCAGGGCTACGGGATCAAGGCATGATCTAAGGAATGATGTGCTTTAAAGGATTTTATCAAATTGATAAGATCTTGATTTCAGAAGTTTAGGTAGAATGAGTTGTTCAACCTGATAGAAGGCGCTGCGAGAAACAAACTCTGTCCAATATTTTGCCAAAAGTTGTTTTATATTGTCGTCAAATTTCATCAAAATTTGTTGCGTCGCGTCCTCTCAGAGATATGAGCGTTCAAAGATCCACAATTTAAATGAAATGCCCTGTACTTGTCGCTTTACTCCTAAGTACGAGTGTGCCCAGGTTGTACACACAAGGATAGGAAGGTTACATCAGAGGAAGAGAGAACAAGTCGT